AGGTTAGAATCTAGTATAAATGCAAATTCATGAATTTGTACTTCTTTGTAGAGCAATGCATTAAATGTTTCAATCATTTTATTATATATTTGGTAGTATTTTCCTAATTTAAAGGTAGGTAAGCATAATATAACGTTCTTAGTTCTTGAACACAATTTTTATAATTTCCGCTTCGTTTGAAATCTTCTTCTCCTATTAATAGAATACAAAAGTCATATTTCGAAAGATACTTTGCTTGACTAAATAGGTTGTGAAGGTTCATCATACCGACATTAGATCTCAGGAAATAGCATATCTCATAGTTTTCGTCAGCAAAATTTGCTAACGCTATGTTAGTGACTTTATTTACTTTTTCGCTAGAAAATATGTGTATTTTTCTGTTTTTATAATTTTTGTACTCTTCATACCGATTGTTTATCGTTAGAGCCGTAAATCTATTGTTTAGTAAGCAAATCTCTTCTCTTGCTTCTTGTAGTTGGTTTTGTTGTTCAAAGATCATGGATTCAAGTTTTTTTATACTAACAATATTTTCCTGATTACATGTTGGTGTTTTCGCCGGCGTTTTATTATTTTCGATAAAATTTAACTGTTTTCCTTTCATGCGCGTTAGGTGAGCTGCAAATTGTCTCTAGTTGTTTAATTTTTAATTCATAATTTGAAACTTTTTTCTCTAACATACTATTTTCAGCAAGTAATTTTTCAATTTCAGCATCAGCAGACGCAAATTTTATTTCTTTCAGTGTATGTATATAATCATAATAATCATTTTTACTTAGTTTAGGATCAATATCAGGATAACTCCGATTTAACTTGACCGATTTGTTCATATAATTCTCATCGTCAGTATTGATTTCGTCTTCAGAAAGCGTTTCAAATGAGTTTTCAGTTGAAACATTTGCTATAATCCTGTTGCGCATTTTTACATTTTCTCTAGGTGAGGTAAAAGAATTTTTAGAATATTGTGTGACCGGAGATACTGGCTTTTGAATATTTTTCTGTAAATCTGTTCGACAACGGACGCATTTCCATTTTTCTCTACTTTCTTTTTTAATTAAGCTGAATAAAGAATATGAAATATTTGCATATTCTAGGTCAAATATCATTTTACAAATTGAACATGTCATAGATTGTCTCTTTTTTAACTTTTTATGGCATTTTGCACAATTTGCCATCTTTAAGTGACCTCTAGTGTTGGGCTGTAGTACTGCTTAGTTAAATACTCGTAGGTTTGATTCTAAACTCTGATTTATATCGCTTGTAGCAGGTGGTACAATCAGTCGCCGCTAGGTGACACTATTTAGTTGATTTAGGCAGTTTTTATCTGATGTATAAGTATAGGTGTCACTAGTGGTCAATATTCAAGAGCAGCTGATTATTAAACTGAGTTTGTTTACACTTGGTCATCTGGTTCATGACCAGATGGTCAAGCTCGTGAATTTTCATACAGTAAAAGTGTTATTATATCTTCTTATACCTCAATAATAAATCTAGATAAATGTGAAAAAATTACCAAAGTGTATTCTAACCAAAAGACTAAGAATCTGACATAACAGAAAAAACAACATAATAGCGCATTACCAGTTTTTTTGCTCGAGGGCGTAGGTATGATCATTACTAATCCTACTACGTATTTAATCTCAAATTGACACTACTTACTTACGGTTTTGCTTAAAATAAAGTTACAAAATTAAGCGACTGCCTGAGTAAGGCGAAACTAAAAGTCATACGTTCAAATATGCCATACGACTACTATTGTAAACCGCTCCAAGGCGCAAGCACGGTCCTGAGTCACCTGCATCCATTGACTTCCTGCATATCTTGAAGTTAACGTTCAAGCTTATTGTGCTTACGAATGGAAAATTTCTTTTCTTTTAGTATCCTGTAATTAATAGGCTTTCCCCAAGAAATGCCACAAAGCATAGTACTGAGTTACCTGCATCCATTGACTTCCTGCATGTCTTACCAGGTCGTCACTCCATCTAGTGGGGGGACGCCCTACACTTCGCCTGCCGGTACGAGGCTGCCACTCGAGAACCTTTCCCCATCGCCGGTTCTTCGAGCTATATGGCCGGCCCATTGCCACTTCAGCTTACTAATCCGTTAGGCTATGTCAGTCACTCTGTTTCTACTGCGGATATCCTCATTTCTAAATTTATCACGCGGAAAAACAAAGAGCATAGCCCTCTCCATAGCTCGCTGAGCGACCTTGAGCTTCCTCGTCCGGCCAGCAGTGAAGGACCACGTCTCAGTTCCATAAGTCATCACTGGCAACACGCACTAGTTGTACAGTCTCGTTTTTAAGTTTTGAGGTATACCTGACGAGAAGATATGCCGGAATTTCCCGAACGCTGCCCAACCGAGTTGAATCCGTCGATTGACCTATCGGTCGAAGTTGGACTTACCTAGTCGGACTATTTGTCCCAGGTAAACATACTAGTCAACAACTTCCAGCTTAGTGCTCCCAACAACTACCGGCATAGGTGTGACATGTACATTAAACATGATCTTTGTTTTGTCCATGTTCATCTTAAGACCCATACGTTGGGAAACACTATTGGAGTCATTGAGCTTAGTGCTTAGGTCCTCCAGCGATTCTGCCATAAGGACTATATCGTCGGCAAATCGAAGGTGAGTGATGTATTCGCGATTGATGTTGATACCGTATCCTTTCCAGTCCAGAAGCTTGAAAAGGTCTTCCAATGCGGCGTTGAAGAGTTTCGGGGATATGACGTCACCTTCTTTTACACCTCTCTGCAGTTGGATAGGTTTCGTACTCTGGTTCTGTACTCGGATAGCCATCGTAGCCCTATTGTACAAGCACTTCAACACTTCGATATACCGACAGACAATCTGGCACCGCTGAAGGGACTGCAGCACCGCCCAAATTTCGACGGAATCAAAGGCTTTCTCATAGTCCACATACGCCAGACATAGTGGCAAATTGTACTCTTCGGACTTCTGTACAACTTGCCGAAGGGTATGTATGTGGTCTATGGTGCTAAAGCCCTTTCGGAAACCGGCTTGTTCGGGAGGCTGGAAGTCGTCAAGTCTGCGCGCGAGACGATTCGTAATGACTCTCGAAAACAGCACATAGACGCGGCTCAAAAGGGAAATCGGTCTGTAGTTCTTCAAGAGAGCGTTGTCATCTTTCTTGAAGAACAAGACCACCGCACTTCTTCTCCACGCCTCCGGAGTAGTGCCACCACGGAGGACAGAATTAAAGAGCTTCTGAAGGAACGCTTTCAGAAGCTCCGCTGTAATTCCATCCCCGCCTGGGGCCTTGCCATTTATAAGGTGCTAGAAAGCCATTCTAATCTCGCTCAGAGTAACGTCTGGGATATCATCGGAGTAATGTCGGATAAGACTCGCTCTTGGATCGTTACTCACACTTGCGTGTGGCTCCAACGATGATGTGTACAGCTTCCCATAGAACCTATCAATCTCACTCAAAATCTCAGGTGTCCCAGAAATAACGCTGCCACACAAGGTCTTCAGCTTCGACAGTTGACTCTTTCTGGCAGATAGATCTCTAGCTAAGACTTTGGAGCCCTGGTTCCGCTCGATCGCTACTTCAATACGAGCCGTATTAAAGTTGCGTAAGTCCCGCCGCATACATTTGGAGATCTGTCTGTTCAGTTGCCTGTATGCTGTCAAATCTACTGAAGACTGCAGCTTCATATCCCGTCTAACAGCCATGAGATCAAGAGTGTAATCGGAGATTTTTTGTATTCTTCTACGGCGGGTCTTGCAAAACTTAGCTCCGATCGCATGGACAGTTTCCACGAGCTTGTAATTCATATCGTCCACTGCATTGCAATCTTCTAGGAACTGAAAACTGTTTCGTAGCTCGAACTGAAAAGTTTCGGGACTTTGGATAAGAGCACGAGGGACGGAGCGTTGACTTCATTAGACGTGACCTCTCCATCTCAACGGTTAGGGTCAGTGTGCCTCTCACCATTCGGTGATCGCTACCGGTTTCAGTCACTGAACAGTTGTCGTCTGGTCGTCATAATGAAGTCAATCTCATTTTTTGTCGAACCGTCGGGGCTCTAGTAGGTCCACTTCCTGTGGGGCTGCTTCTGGACGAAAGAGTTCATCATAAAGAGTCCCTTTTTCACCATGAAGTCAGCCAGCTGCTGGCCTCTTGGGTTCCGTTGCCCTATTCCGGAAATTCCCTACTTTCAGCACACCGTTCTCTCTTGTGCCTAATTTTGCGTTGAAGTCTCCCATTAACACCGTATAGTAGGTTTTGGAGGAATGCATGGCTCTAGAGATATCCTCATACATTTCCTTCGCCTTCTCATCGGCATGTGTCGAGGTTGGTGCGTAAACCTGTATGACCTTCAGCGAATACCGTTTGGTGATTCTGAGTATAAGGTACGCAACCCTCGTCGACACACTCCCAATGTTTACAACGTTGGTAACGAGAGACTTGTGGGCGATAAATCCAACACCTCCTTGGGACAGATGGTCGTCCTCCTGGTGATAGAAAAAGTTGCCGGATTCGAGGATTACCGTGTCCTCCCCCTCTCTTCGGACCTCGGATAATCCTATGATATTCCAGCGCAACTTGTCTATCTCTTCTTCCAGCTCCAGGATCTTTTCGTCAGTCCTCAGGGTGCATGCATTATAAGTTGCCAGGTCGAGTCGTCGTAGGTGGCAACCGAACCTCCACCGGAGATTCTTAGCACCCCCTGCCCCACCGTTACCATGGTCGCCACCGTAGCTAGGAATAGCGGGGCCGCCGGGGACTGGGGGCCGTTAATAATGTCATTGCTCATGGGGGGTATATTGCCATAGTTGCCACGCTTGGCGAGCGGGTTGGCAATAAATCTAATACAATATATGAAACATTCTGAAATATTAAAACTAAGTGAAATTTCTTTGTTCTAATCAAAATATGTTATGTAATGTCAGGCTTGCCACATCAATCGTTTCACGCGAAACTGAACACAGAAAGGATTATCTTATCGACCTGACATAATAATGCAACCTCGCTCTCAAGCGGACGTTATATCAATCATTTCTCCTATCTTCCTTTTCTTGCCTGACCTAAAGCGTTCTTCTATTTGTAATAAAGTTTTTCCTTTTGTTTCAGGAAGACAGAAATACAAAAATATTGTACCTATTAATGTTGACATTCCATAAAATAAATAAGTACCGTAATGTCCTATATTTTTAAACATTGCTGGCGCGGTTTTCACCGTACCAAAGAAAAAAACTGACGTCATCATAACACTTAAACCTGAACCTATGCCTTTTGTGTCCGATGCAAATACTTCTCCGACCATATTCCAAGGAAGGGGGGCTATACCTATGTTTGAAACAACAATATACACCGCTGTTAATCCTAACGATATGACGGGAGTGACTTGTTTTATAACATTAATTTCCACTAAGTATAAATAAATTGATAAAATTATAAGGGACAATGATGTAAAGGTTCCACTAAATATCGCAATAGGTCTTCGGCCCTTTCTTCTTAGCATGATACAGGCTGTGACCAAAGCCACGCATCGCAATATATCTATTCCCAACATGGCCATATACGTGTTAGTTTTACTACTTAATAAAACTTCCATAATCTCTGTAGTGTAAGCACAAAAGACGTTAATCCCAGAGAGTTGAGTTATTGCAAAAAACACTAGCATTATACATAAAGGTTTCCAAAACTCGGGTTTACTGATGTTTGTTTTCAAGGTTTCAATCTTGCTTCTTTTATCAACTTTCTTTGTATGTTCTAATATCATTTTATCTAATTCTTCTTTCATAGATGGACTAGTACCTCTGTACCATTGGAATGATTAAATACACTTGCTTATTTGATTCTTTGAGGCAAACCACACTGGTGATTCTGGGGCATAATACAGTATAATGCATCCAATTAGAGGAAAAGTTCCACAAAGCAAAGATGCATGACTCCAGTGCAGCAACGTTCCAAATAGATGTGACATGAACACTCCGAAAGCAATGCTCAATGACAAGCTTGCTAAGAACAAACCTCTATATGCCGGCGAACTTATTTCTCCCACAAAAACTGGCCCAAGGGGACCCAACCATCCCTGACAAAGGCCAGTTATAAATCTTCCAACCAAAATTAGATGTATATTAGTCGCAATTGCTATTGTTGTCCATCCTCCGATATAAAACAATGAAAGTATCATTTGAGATGATCTTCTACCCAATCTATCCATTAGATATCCCGAAATCATGTTACCGAATAATAAAGCCAGTGACGAAATAGCCGCTGAAAAGAAAAATATCAATTGTGATAAGCAGATAATGAAAGTATATCATTAAAATTATTTTATATTTACACATACCTACCCAAGACACCATCTCGGTAGAGTATTTTTTATGTCCCTTTGCGTGTTGTATTTGCGGAATAAGGACTGCAGAAAACCCTGCCGTTGCACCTGCGCTGAGTGACAACAAAAATGTGCCGAGTACTATAAAAGCCTGAAAACAAAATAATGGAACCGTTATCTAAAAATTGAACTTTTGAAACTATTATTTATTTCTGTAATAAGTAAGTGCGTAAATGCGGATCTTCTTTTGCTGGTTTACATGAAAATAAAGTAGTCCATATTATATTTTATTTCTATATTTATTGAAATTCTTCAAATGTCTCCCAACTGAAGATAACTTTCTTTCTGCACTAATTCAGATATTTAACGAGTACAACTAGCATCATCGATTTATTTCATGCGTGAGAGTTTTCATGGCGATATTCCTTTTCATAGACTAGACGAGACTATTTCGTAGACTACACTAAATCCAAATGCCTCGTTTCCAATAAAAAGGGGCTCCGGTTCTCTACACTCACCATTTTTTTTATAGAACAAGAGTGACAAACGAGGACACAGTCCACCTGATGGTATGTGACACTGAAAGTTCTTAGAAAATTAAAAAATGAACAAACTAGCAAGTTATTAGTTTTATTATATATTTTTAAAATAGTGTCCATTTGTATCAATACATCGCTGCATCCGATGTAACCACTGAGAAAAGCACTTTGCCCACTCGTCCTTAGGGGTCTCTTTGACGGCATTTTGAAACGCAGCCACTGCTTCCTCGGCGTCCATATAAGGTTTTGCTCTAAGTTTTTCTTTTATTTTCGGAAATAAATAAAAACCGCAAAGAGCGAGGTCGGGGCTATAGAGCGGGTATACCAGTAATTTCACGTCTGACGTCGCAAAGTAGTCCATTGTTTGCTTGGCGGTGTGCGACGAGGTGTTGTCGTGATGAAGAAGGATCCTACTGCGAGGTCGTTTCTCCCGAACCTTTTCCAAGACAAGTGGCAAACAATTGTTAGTATACCACTCTGCAGTAACTGTTTTTTGCTCCTCTTAAACAATTGTTGCGTAATGACCTGTCCTTCTAAAGAACGAAGCCACCATGTTTTTTCCCACGCTTCTACTCTCTTCACTTTAGTTAGCAACTCCTCGGAAGGAAACACCCAGACAGCAGACTGTCTCTTAGTTTCAGGATCATAACAATAAATCCAACTTTCGTCACCCGTACGTATGTCTTTATGTGTCTTTATGTGATGCAGTTATGCATTATCATAGCGAAAGCGTCAGCTGTGTGCTTACTAACCCGCCCGTTCAGTAAAGTGAGTGTGGGCCACAGATTACCTCCTAAGGGGGTAATCTGTGGTGTGGGCAAATATTTCAAGTAATGAATGTCATTTGACGTATTCTTGCCGCCTAATTACTATACGTTTTAATAATTTAACTATTATTTTGCGTACTTTAATCGCGTTTATTTTATGTTTAGTAAATTATTTTGTCGTTTCGATCGCATTCCAGCATTCTTTGTCCCGGAGCACTGACTTTGCATAACGTCCTAAAGTAATTGTCAATGCAGGCTAAATTCAACTTTTTATAATCAACTTTTGGTTCAGACTACGCTCAAAGAACTTGGCTTTTAATAAAAGTTTATTAATCGTAAGATAAAATCTCAGGTGAATGGCTCTACCCAGGCATATTTAGTATTGAAATAAGTTGTTTTTTTCGTTTTCCTAACCTGTTTCCGTAAATTTTATTATCAACAAATCTCAATGTTACATGTAAACATTTTTAACGTTTCAATTCAAACTTTTTTTAATAGGGTAGGGTGACAAACGAGTACACAGTCCACCTGATGACAAGTGGTTGCTGTGACCCATAGACATCTAAATTTATCCTCGTTTGCGAATCAAAATGCAGATGCGTTGTCACCCGTGAGGACTAACATAGAATGCCTCTTTTCCAGTAAAAACATTTCCGGTTCTCTACACTCACCATACGCAACACAGCAGCATTAAGCTGCTATTTTGCGCTGGTATTCTGTGAGAGCGTGGTCCTTCCCCGATCGAGCCGACCCATTCGTACTACAACTATACTATTAATATAGCTGCAGCATAGCTCTACAACAATGTCAATTCCATTTTTTTAGAATAAAGGTGACAAACGAGCATACTGTCCACCTGATGGTAAGTAGATGCTGTGGCCCATACACATCTACATTTATCCTCAATTAAGAATCAAAATGCAGATGCGTTGTCACCCCTGTTAACTGAGATGGAATGCTGCGGAACTTCGGGCATAACCCTCTCCATAGCTCGTACTGGTCCGAACAACTACCGGCATAGGTACATAATGTAACGTCATCTTTGTCTTGTCCATGTTCATCTTAAGACCCGTCCTTTTGGAGACCCTATTGAGGTCATGGTCATGTGGTTTTGAACCATGTCAACCTTGTCCTTCATATGCACAACGCCTTTACGTAACTATGGGGGTTTACAATATGGGTGTGGATATTATATCCACCCCCATATTATGTTATAATTTTTCTTTATAAGCAAAGTGTGTTATAAAGAAATTGTGTTATAACAAAATTGTTTTTGGAAGTACTTTCACCAAGTGTGGTAGGAACAGAATATATCACTTGCACAGAATATCAGTGCAAAGAGCAGCGTGATACTGCTGTGAGGAGAATCGGAGACCCTTTCTCTGGTAACGAGACATCTTATTGCTCAAAATTCTGCATTTTGATTATTATATGAGCATAAGAGGTTGGGTCCACAGCGTCTACATACAATCTTGAACTTTGTGATTTTGTCACATTTATTTGTATAAAAAAATAGATCTTTCTTTTTCTCTTGGGATAAGGTTGTTAGCGAAAGTGGACTAACAGTTTGGAATACGCACTGCGAAATCTTAAATTATGGATTTAAATCTGCTATTTGTGTACTGGCGTAAACCTATCTATCTCTACTGCCGTCCTTACGATAAGTGCAATAACTCGGGTTTTGGGCTTACTGACTTAAGTACATATTTAATCAGGAAAATGAGCTCTATATTTTCTCTTTAGACGTCTCTGCAATATCTAATATTACTATTTGTAAGTTGCATATCATGAACGAAATCACTTGAGTTATGGCATGGTTAGCTATAATATTTTTTTGATATTATTCGAGTTATTGCCGTTATGAGTAGTAAAGAGGGAGCAAGGGGTGTGACTTGACTTGAAGTGATATTGCTTTGCACCATGTGCGCGTAGGAGGTTCGTCGCGGTGCACTAAGCGATCGATATCCCATCGAACAATAGCATCTTATTCATCACCAGTTAAATCTTCAATCTCAATTTAAGATTCTGACGCTGATACAGTGACGTTGCCTGCTATTCAAAAGGAACCAATTTCTATAGATTGAAATCAATTTTGGTCGCGTCCTCCAGATTACAACGATTTTAAATCAGTTTTTGATTTACGAAATAAATATAGTAATTATTTTAATGTGGTTCGAGATATTGATCTTAATATTCTTGTTTCTAAAACTCAAGAAATAGAACAGGAGCTGTTGGGACGACTCCCAACTCTGGACCTGCCAAGGTTCTCCAGGGTCCTCTCCGACTGGATAACTTTTGTAGGCCTTTTTGATAGTCTAGTGGACGCCCGGAGGGACTAGACACCAAGCCAGAAGATGGCGTACTTCCTAGCCTCACTGGAGGAGGAGACCCTAGGCGTCTTCGGCCATTTGAGATTTTCGGCCGACGCCTACCAGACTGCTCGGGACCTCCTCGCCGGAAGATACGCCAACGTCCGGCGAATTGCGGACGAATACTTCAGGCAGCTTCTAAGCCTCACACTGCTTAGGGACCGGACCAGACTACGCCCTGTAATGCGTTGAGGCGGCTGGATTTACCGGTGGATGAATGGTCCTTCTTGTTGCTCCACATCGTGCTCTCCCGCCTGCCTCTCGACCTTCGTATACATTTTGAGGAGATGTACGGCCGGGACGGCGCCTCCTATATTCCGCCCTTCAGTGATTTGCTGCGGTTCTTGGAAGAGCAGTGCCGGCAAATTGAGAACGCTGCGGGCACCGTTGACGACTTACGAGCCGTGTCCAGTGAGAGGCGGAATCCGCCGGGCAAGTCGTCGTCAACCCCCCTAAAGCGATCGGAGCTCCCGCGATAGGGCGCCGCTCCCTACCATCTTACAGTGGCCTAGTGGCCAGGAAGGCGCCCCCCTGTTCCTATTGCCGAGCATCCGATCACCGGGTGACGTCGTGTCCGAAGTTATTAGGTAAGCCGGTTCCGGCTAGGCGAACTATCGTCAAGAAGCGCCGCTGGTGCTACTCAGAAAGGCACCTCCAGTGAGACTGCTCGCACCAGCGGCCCTGTCCGCATTGCCAGGGCAATCACCATGCAGTTTTGTACCTGGGTGCGAACGGCGCCTCCTCTCGGGGCTCTGCCGGGCCTTCGACTCCCACGGGCGGGGGCTCAGCCACGCCCTCTGTCGGGCGACGCTCGGCACTCGCCAGCCAGCCACCGAGTTTGCAATGGGTCCCGCCCCCGACCAGTCGGGGGGTCGTTCCCCCAGGGGCGGGGGTGTCGTCGCCCCTCCTCAGCGTGTAGAGAGGAACTTCACGGCCACTCAGCAGTCAGCTAGACCCTTCTCATTCCCGTTAGCTGAGTGGCCGCGGCTGGGGTACCGCCGTCCCCCCTTTGATGGAGGCAGCCGTAGCTAGCTGCCGCCCTAGCTCCCACCACGGCCGCCTCCACTGAGCCTTTGAGCCGTCAACAGTCCATTTGTCAAACTGTTCTATTGCCGACGATCTCAGTGAAGGCGTACAACCCGAGTGGCGACTGTTAGTGGTTCGCGCTCTATTGGATTGGGGTTCACAATGCTATGTGGCCTCCTCTTGGTTGGTGGGAAGACTAGGGCTCCCCTGGAGCGTTAAATCACGCTGTCAATGAGTATTAGATTTGGTTTTGGTCGAGCACTTGATTAAAAATGCTTTAAATTAAAAATAAAAATGCTTTGGTTTTTCCGCGAAATGTTCATAGTTGTAGTGGTTGTGAGTAAAAGGGTAAATTTAATATACTCCTTGAATACGAGTGCATATGTTTTTGTAAATATATTTGATCATTATGTTTGCTTTGTTGAAAAGAAAATTGAAATTGAGTAACAC